AGGGTTTGGAGCGTTTGGAGGGTTTGGAGAGTTTTGGAGTGTTTTGGAGGGTTTGCGGGCTGGCAAACGGCAGCTTTGAAAGCCTAAGAAAGCCATTGCTGTGGCCTGGCCCTGGGGTGCCTGTTGGGGAAGTGGCGTTGGCCCTGGGGTGCCTGTTGGGGAAGGTGTTTGGAATTTTGTTTTGGAAAGTTTGGAGCCTTTGCGGGCTAGCAAACGGCAGCTTTGAAATTCATAAAAAGTCTCATTGCTGTGGCTCTGGCCCTGGGGGTTTGGAATTTTGGAGGCGTTTGGAGCCTTTGCGGGCTGGCAAACGGCAGCTTTGAAAGCTCATAGAAAGTCATTGCTGTGGCCCTGGCCCTGGGGTGCCTGTTGATCCTGTTGGGGAAGCTGCTTAAGGGTAAAGGTTTGGAGGGTTTGGAAGAGGACAAGGTCCACACCTGCGGTGGATCTGAGGTGCCTGCTGGGGACGGTGTTTGGAGGGTTTGGCGGGTTTTGGAGGGTTTGGAGAGTTTTGGAGGGTTTGCGGGCTGGCAAACGGCAGCTTTGAAAGCCTAAGAAAGCCATTGCTGTGGCCTGGCCCTGGGGTGCTTGTTGGGGAAGTGGCCTTGGCCTTGGGGTGCCTGTTGGGGAAGGTGTTTGGAATTTTGTTTTGGAAAGTTTGGAGCCTTTGCGGGCTAGCAAACGGCAGCTTTGAAATTCATAAAAAGTCTCATTGCTGTGGCCCTGGCCCTGGGGTTTGGAATTTTGGAGGCGTTTGGAGCCTTTGCGGGCTGGCAAATGGCAGCTTTGAAAGCTCATAGAAAGTCATTGCTGTGGCCCTGGCCCTGGGGTGCCTGTTGGGGAAGCTGCTTAAGGGTAAAGGTTTGGAGGGTTTGGAAGAGGACAAGGTCCACACCTGCGGTGGTCCCAGGCGCCGCCCCGGCCTTGGCGAAGGCCGGGGTCGGCGGATATTTAGCTAGGTCTTGGAAGTTGTAGGTAAGAAACAATATGCAGAATACAAGTACGGCCGATACCAGGTGCGATCTGCCTTCACTTTCGACTGTGCATATGATCCACAACGTAGATAAGATAAGCTCAGATACGATAAGATAAGATTTGATATGATAAGGTAAGATAAGATAGACAGCTGGACATGTGTATAGTATAGATATCTCTGTAAGTATAGTTCTATTTACTTATCTATTTATTGACTTACTTTGGCAAACGGCAAATGTGTATATATATATACACACCGTTGATATCACATGATAGATATCAAAATCATTTTTATAGAATGGGTTGTTTATGTGTATATGTTCTGAACATTTCTGATGGTGGTGCTTCTGAGTTTGTGCCTTTGCATTGTATAATTCGGATCATTTGTTGATCTATTCCTTTCTTATTCACGTGTGAGACACCTGAAACCTCGTCTCAACTTGCGGACGGAGAAAAAGAAACACATTGGCACCTTCTGCCTGAAGAGGAAAATCGCGTCTGCATGAATTCCGCATTCTTGGTTTGTCCCGCAGCTGCGTTGGGATAAAAGGATCTTGCTCACCCAGTGCCTAGAGAAAAAAAAGAAAAAGAACACCCTTTTGATTCACACCTTCACTTCGATGATCTGGCGATAGATCACAACCCTGGTATTTCTGAGCGAATTTTCACGGAAAATTCACCGGCAAATAGATGTTCATCCCCCTATCCGCAACCACATGGGCGGGGGCCAACTCGCATCCATGTCCAGCGGTGACCGTGCAGGCACCGGTGACCGTGCCGGCGCGGTTCAAACCCGTGGTGAAGGCGCGGAAATGTGGTCAATTCTCACAGGAAATGTGGAACAGACATGAATTAAACACCAACAAAGATAGGATGTGAATGTAATGAAATGGATATGGTGATGACTTGTTGATGTATGGTTTGGAAGATCTGTTTATCAATGCGTCCCAGGTATGGGAGTAAAACAGTGGGACTGGCATTTTCGGAGTAGCCACCGACCAGTTAGATATTCGGAAAAAAGTGATGGGATGAAGTGGATGAAGTGGATGAAGTGGATGAAGTGGATGCACTTCTTTTTTGTGTGTTTTGTACGGATGGGTTTGGTTTTGAATGTTGCTTGAATGTTGTTTGTGAGTGAGTTTTGGTTCGCACTTGTAAGATTGCTGCAACACGTGGGCCGCAAAACTCGCCGCTTGCTGAGCTGGGTCAAGTGTGCGTTTCGGATATTTTTGGGCACCCAAAAATATGAGATTTCTGGTATTTCTGCGACAGTTCCGAATGGAACTGATGAACTTTGATGGTTTTTGGAGTGCAATGCGAGAATCCCCATGGTTTTGGCCGTTTGGTTTTTGTCCGACAGGGGAATGACAGAGCCTTCAAAGCACAGCAGGAGCTCCGCGTCCGTGATCCATGGTTAGCATGGTTGAGCATGGTTCTTACCCTCTGGTTATGTCAAAATAGCTATTGAAAATGGCCATAGAAATAGTGGATTTTCCCATTGAAAATGGTGATTTTCTATAGTTATGTAAAAGTTTACCAGAGGGTATTAAGTTTATAATCCCAATAAAAATCCCATGATAGGTTGCCCCTCAAATCCCCTCAAATCGCCCAAAACGCCGCCTCATTCTGCACCATGAGGACCCCCAGCCATCAGAGGCTTCCAGAGTGCCAAAGGTGAGGGTGGAATCTGGAAGTATCTGGAAGTAGGGTTGGTAGACGCATCATTTTTCAAATCTTCATGGATCTTAATGGATTTTAAATGTTTTTAAACATCATTGGCCATGATTCCCTTTGCTTTGCTGGTGATGTTTGAATGGGACAGCCATCAGGATGCAAGTTTTCTGCATCCTGTCAACGCCTCAACGGCCTGTAGGAACTGGACAAGGCATTTAGCCTTGCTCCTGCCGTAGTCACTGGGGTTTTCCAATGCCACGATGGATTTGTAAGTCACTCATTCGTTAAATACATTTCCATGGATGGGTTGAACCCGTGCACTGGGATTGAATGGGTACCCTCTGGTAATTTAACATAGCTATTGAACATGGCCATAGAAATAGTGAGTTTTCCCATTAAAAATGGTGGATCTTTCCATAGTTATGTAACAAATTACCAGAGGGTAAACACCTCTACCACCCACAGATTTTCGAGCCGTGTACTGTCGAAGAATGGTTAGGCGGTGCCGGCTGAGCCGGTGCAGGTGGGATGCTGCATCTTTGTTGCTTTCAGGAAATGTGGCACAGAAAAGATAGGATTAACTGGATGAGAGTATATAGATTAGATTAACGCAGATGAGATTAGTTTAGATTAGGTTAGAATGTAGTAGATCTGGCTAGATAAATATAGAGGACATTAGCTTGTGAATGCACCATACTACAATAAAAGCAACCAGTTCTTGCTGCTCGTGCCGTTTGTAGAGGTAGATATTTAGTTAAGATGAACAGCAACTCCCTAGATCATGTCGATATGCATATTTGATTGGCCTACATCCATGTCAATATCCAAGTCTATGTCTCTATCTACATCCATATCGATCTACCTATATTTGTCTGTAACCTGCCATTCTATCTGTACTACGTGAGATCTTCATGGCATCACACACCCAATCCATCCTTCCAAAAATAGCATACCCCCTGCTTTCCTGGGCTCAAAAGACGGCACCCGCCGTGCCGCGTTCCGCGCCTGCAATGAAGTGGTTCCTCTCCTTGTTGGTTTTGGTGCCGACCTCGTGCCTGAAATTCCTGGACCCACAGGGCCTGGGGCTTCCCGTGGCATCCAAGCGCCCGGGATGGCTGGCGCGCCGCGACGAGTTGGTGGTGGACGCCCGGCCCAAGCAACGGGGCGGGATGCTGATCCTGCAGCTGGTGCTGAACGATGCCTACGGCTACTGGGGATCGGAAGGCTCCACGGCACGGCCACGGTGGCTGAGGGCCATCCTGGCCACCAACCGAAAGCACGCCATGCAGCACGGCCATGCCATGGTGCTGAGGTGGAAGAGGACCTTGCCACTGACCGAGTGGCAGGAAGAGATGTGTAGCCAGAAGGGCCAGAGTCGGGAGGAATGTGCCAAGAGTTGGGAGAGGGAGAACTTTTGCTGGGAGAAGTTTCCTTTTATGGTGCCTTGGAATGCAGCAAAATCGTGGAGGTTGTGTAGTGCTAACACCCCTAAGTTGCAGGAACACATGAAGTCAAAATGGAGACAACCTGAGGGTTTTGGAACCCTTAGATCTTTGTCCTTCACTGAAGTTGGGCTCAGATTGTGCGTAGGTGAGCATGGTGAGTGTTCGCCCCGGCGCCGGCAAGAGAGCCCAGGTGGACTACTTGTTGAACTCGCAGGAGTTCACTCACATGATCATGCTGGATGCCGATGCTGCCTTGATCAGACACCAGGCACAGATGTGGGCCATAGATATATATATATATATAGCTGTTTTTCTTCAAGTTTTCATGAGTTGACCAACTTTAAGTGGCACTGGGTATTGTTTTGACATGTTTAGCATTTTGGAGTGTGATTATCCCGGCAGCATCCATGTTCCAAGATTTTTGCTCAAGTCTGGACGCGCCTTGCAGTTCAGTTCCAGGTCGACATCTTGGGTGGCATCGCGCAGCAGATGCAGCAGCAGAACGTGGATGTCTTCCTGACCAACGAGGAGCGCGGTGGACTGCGGCGCCGGGGTCTTGAAGGAATCAGAATCAAATAAGGCGATGCTTAGACCCCAACAATATATCAATATATATATATTATAGTTATATCTAGTTATATATAGTCATATATCTTCTTGAAATTGTTCGTCTTGTTTAAGTCCATTCTACCCAGCTTCCAAGCGAAGCCACCCTCATCTGTGCACTTTTTCACTCCCATCTGGTGACAGGACTGGCTGAAGAACGGTCAGGAGCGCATCAATGGTGGCGTGATCATGGCGCGCAACTCCAAGTGGTCCGAGGATATGTTGCCTGGCCCTGCCAGTTGGGAAGTGGCCGCGGTGATGGAGCACAAACGGCACAATCCAAATCTAGATATAAGATAATACAATAAATGTATCCACACACACACATATATATACATATATATATACACATATATATATATATACACATATATATATATGTATATGTAAGTTCATTATATAAACATGATATATCAGAACATTTATTCTTATTTTTTCTTCATGAGGTGTTGGATAATGAGCCAATCATTGGGGTCATTTACCACTTCAAAGTGGACATCTCAACCTAGGGATGAACATGGATGAACTATAAAACTTGCCAAGGCCCATTATCTTGCAGCCAGATTTTGAGGTGCTCCCACATAGGTCTGAACCATGGGTTTTTGTTCACCCCTTGTAATTCTTTGAAGCGCCATAAATGAATAGGTGTGTTCAATATTGTTCAATAATGGGGGGTGCCGCAAAATTGCCACTTTGACAGGTCAAAAATGATGAGAATCCTTTCAAACTGCGTGCTTTTTGAACCATTTTCTGGCAAGTTCCCCATGTCTGGTGAGGTTCCAGGATGCCTTCGAAGCACACAAGCTGGGCCCCAAGATGAGGAAGATATGGCGCATCGGTGAAACTGGCGTCATGTGCACCAGCAACGAGCAGATCTGCTTGAACGAGCCTTGGATGGGCCAAGACAAAGGGCAAACAAATCAATCAGAGATGGATGTTGAACTGTTGAACATGGTTTGGTGGAAAATCTAAGAATTGAACAAATGCCGCAGATCCTGAAATGGTATTGAATTGTCACGGATTCTCTATCCTTTGCTCCTTCTTCAGAAACCATGAACTCACGAACCCACAGACTACAACAGGCAGCTGGGCATATCTCAGGCTCAACTTCCCAAAGGCTGGATGAGAAGATTGACGTGAACCCCCCTATGATCACTGGGATCCACCATGGTTTTCTTTCCATTTTTTCCAACTAATCCAATTTGCCACATCCCATGGATGTGACCGAAACGGCTGGTGGCATGGATTTTTCAGGACCTCGTCTACGGCCATGGCAAGAAGATCATGGAGGGCCACGTGGCCTTCGAGAGTGGCATCGTTTCATGGCAGGAAAATTTTGGAGGGAACCATTTGGAGCAAAGGGTGCCCATTTTCCCTTTATAATTGTATATATGTACAGTATATGTACAGTATATACTAGTACGGTATATATAATTGTCAATCTTGTCAATCTTGTCCCTGGGGAGCCAGTTGGAGCTCAAAGCATAGTAAAAAAATATATATCTATTGTCCATAGGGCCATAGGGAGCCACACATGTAGATTTACGTGGGCACCTGGGGCCGCCCGGGGCCCTGAGCTCCGAGGTGTACAACCGCGGTGGGTGTACCTTGAGACATTGCTGGGAAAAGATTTCCGATCCCAGCATGGAAGAGAAGAAAATCCAGGATCTGTGGGCCACGTGGGCGAAGGAATTTGGAGGGCTGTGGATCATGTTGCCCTGAGGGGTTTCTTTAATTTAAGGGGTACCCCAAAAACATCCAAGTTATTGGTTACTAGCAATGGCAAAACCAATGGTTTTGGGGTACCCATTTTTTAGGAAACATGGATTCTTTTTTGGCAAGAGAAAGTCATATGAGTCATATCTTGGATTTTTGAGGGGTAGCTCTGGTGTTTTTTTTTTCCCGGTAGATGAGCTATCTCGATTTTGGTGAGTGAAACATGGTGCACTGGGAACTTGCTAGGGGAAATCTTCATAAGAGTCACACCCCTACAGCTGTTGAAACCCTTCTGATTGGTGGTTTCAACCAAAATTGTCCAGTTTCAATTCAACCATGTGACTGGGATGATCTCCAATGACGGGCAAATTTTTCAGAGTAGAATGTAGCCACTACTAACACCCTGTTATCTATGATTACTCAATGATTTACCCACATTTAATCCATGATTGTTGATCCCACCATATAATGACCCACCTCTTGGTGGGGTGCAGGACGATCGTTTGCTTATCGTTCACTTCATGGGCGGCAGCAAAAACATCGCGCCGGAGGTTCTCTGCGGTCAACATGGCAACTTCACCGGTGAGGCGCCCGAAGGCTACGGCTGCCGCAAGTAGACGCAAGGACCAAAACGCGATGACCAAAACG